GCAACCACATAGTTGTGTTTGTGGGGCATATTGCAAGGCGATGAGAGGAATAATAGCTACTGACAACCATATACAAAGCATAGAGACATATTCTTTGCTTCCAATTGTTTGCTTGTTGTAGCCTAGTGGTCAAGTGAGTGGGAATGTCAAGAACTTTTTAGCCTGTTGAACTTGTTCTTTCCACATCCTAAAGGTCGACAAATGCTTTGAGATGTTAAAGCAGTCAAAGTTTCGGTGCTAGTTTTGTCAGCAGGTAGCTGTTTGATTTTTAGTGAGAAAAAAAGATAAGACAATGGGCTAAAAAGAATAAAACATTGTCCAAGAACAGAGTGAATTGACATCTTTATCTCCAAAATTTGCAGAGGAAAAAAACAAATAATTTAGATCCTCTCCAAACCCTGGGGATCCAATTAACATCTGGTGTCTCGATCATCCAATCCAATTGATGGACGGGGACTGCATTGACAAGTGCACTTATCATGAATGGCTGATAAAGATGTACCAGATTCCTGTGATTTCAAGAGGATCTCAACATTGATGAGGATACATGCAGTAGACCATCACCCTCTACTTTCTGTCTAGTATCTGTGGTCTACATAATGAACGTATCTCAATGTTTTCTTGTAACGACAAATAACATCCACATCATGAATTCCCCATGACGATTACAAGTTCCCAACCAAGTCGAACAACTACAAATCTAAGTTACAAAATTGGTTATCAAATGCAATCGGTCAAGGCCATAAGGCAGCAAGATAGATTTTGCCCATGACATCTAATGAAACAAGAAAAGGATGTCGTTCGCCACTGATACATTGAACTGGCAGTAATCTGTATCTCTTTAATAACTCCCAACAATTTTACCGCTCCTCATGCATTTCATAAGTGCCACTGTCTAATGTTTCTTTTTTGAAGATTTCTTAAGGGATTTCTTTTTTGGCTTCAGTTTACTTGCTGCAGAAGATGTCTTGTGTTCCTTTTCTTTCTTCCTCTGCTTTTCTTTCTTTACGTTGAACATTGTAACAGCCTGTTTCACATATATATATATATATATATATATATATATATATATATATATATATATATGACATAAAGAAAGATCCTTGGCAGAAGTAAATAAAATGAACATGGATGTACAAATAAGAAATCTTGCCTTGTTGACATCGAGCATGCCATGAGAGCTTTTGTTCATCAGCTGGTCAAGAATTTTTGCTGTTTGTTGTTTTTCTTGTGAGCTCATCCCTTTTCCCTCCACAACAGGGAGAAACTACACAAAAGGAACACAATCAACAAACATCACTAGCATATAATACTTTTCTAGAAAGAACGACCAAGCAAGAAAGACGACCAAGCAAGTACCAACCTTACGATACTTCCCGGCATGCTTGGCAGGTTTTTCTCCAGGCAATTTTTTGTCAAATTTCCCACCACTTGCTGTTGCTGTCGCTGCCATACCAGCAACATTCTGGAGCTCTTCTTTGCTAGCTTTCTTTGGTGCCTCTCCATTAGTTCCTGTGATGGGCAATGCTGTGGCAGCAAGCTGAACATGACTGCGATGGAAGAATGAAGGTACAGGTAATTAGATACAATAGCTAGATGTTCGTCTCTTCTCGGTATATTATTTTGCATATTTGGTGCAAAAATGAATGACAGCATGTAAAAAAAAAAAAATCAAAAGTTGACCGAAAACAAAGACAACCTTGGCAAGGCTCCAGCTTTTGCAGCTTGCTTTAAATTCTGCAGCTGGTTCTTCTCTTGCTTTTCAACCCGTTGCTTCTTTTCAGCCTTCCTTTTGCTGAAGGGATCTTCTCCTGGTTCTGCAATGAGAGCAGTTCTGATTACCAGGAAATGAAGTAATCATACAGAATTACCCCCAACTACCTGCTTGGCCGATTTAACCAAAAAATAGTTTTTTCATAGTACATGATGCTTCAACCACTTAATAACTGAAGGGAGAAGTAACCAGTACTGATGCAAAAACACACTACCTGAAAATGGAAGCAAGTTTGTTCAACACAAGTGCAAAATGATGACCAAACACAGTAGTGTCACGGTCATGGTTTGAAATTTCAGTAAGAAAAAAATGTTGCCCAACATTCCTGTAGGCACATTTCCTGGACTTTTATAGGGAGTGTCAACCGCAGACATGATCCTAGCATCAAACATGGATGCGGATCTAATATAAAACACATGGATTCAGCCTCAAAGGGTCTAATCTAGAACAGGACTACAAGATACAAGTCAGTGACCAAATTATTTAAAGATACATTTTCAATATTTAAACATGCCGCTATGGCAATCTAATATATAGGCTTTCTATTTTAAACCTATACCTCAAGCTAAACTTTCAACCTACGAAGAGCCTAAAGAACCAAATAGTTTTACATAATTTGGCTCATTCAAGATCGCTTGACCTGCACACAGTATAATTAACACAACCCAGAATTATTAGCCAGATCAATTTTCAGGTTGATTAATCTCGAACAAATTGGGTTAAATGTCAACCAGTTTACAACCCAAACCCATAAAATCTCAAGCATAAGCGGCTAGATTTTTCTCATATTTTTACTAAGCTGATGCATCAGGTCAAGAATTCCAGCACTAGTTGTATGATATGTGGTTTTAAATAGAAAATACCATAGTAATGCATTCTTAGAACATTCAACTTAAGCCTTTAGGTCTGAAAAATGAAAAAAGAATACTACAAATGATATGCATCCACAAGTTATACTAAGTATGCTTGACCATAACCGGTTACTCTTATTAACACTACCCATGATAGTTGGTAAGATTTTCATTTCCTAATCAGCATTATTTTAGCTTAACAACTTGCTTACCATCTGATAGTTTGGCCTCGATGATTGGTATGTCTTTATCATCATTTACACGATCATAGCCATGACGTCTCTTCCAAGTACCAGTTTGTTCATCAAAAACACGCTTGTCCTTTTTGTGCTTGTTTATCCCTGAAAGAACGATTGACAAGCCAGATGAGTACATCCCACTAGATGAAATTAGTGGCATGTCTGTAAGGGAAAATAAAACATTTTGATAGCACAATCAGTCCACTTTGGAACACGAAAGGTTCTGTTAAATTGACCTTTCATTTTGGCAAACAACTCCCACTTTGTAGGAGGCTTAGGCTTCGGAAGCTATAAAGAAACAAAGCTGAATCAGTGTCATCAAATAACTATGCAACACTAGAATTAAATTGTAGAGTTGCAGATGATGCATGCAACTGTTTGTAGGAAATGAATATGAATCCACAACAGCAACCATTATATGTAGTTATTTGTAGAGACTACCATGTAGTTTCAGAACAATGGAACAAGCTTAAATAAACAAATCAAAGCAGCATGCCTTAACTCTTAAGCTCGATAGACTTCATAATCATTAGGCTGTGCTAAAAGAATCAATGACTTAAAGGCTAAAGCAAAAGGCAAGGGGCAAACAAGAATAACTTATTAGCATTAGGTACCAGTATTTGGAAGGAAGACTAGATATGATACCAAGAATATGGCCTCGGAGACACATTACAAATAAACCACTGAATCCTAACGATTGTGTAATGATCAGAAACAAATCAAAGTGAAGCATCAATGTGATAACGGCATTCCATGCATCTGCAGCATCTATCCACAATTGGAAACAGAAAAATCAAGCTGCTTCGGTGCTTCCTGATTATTGCTACACCACATTATATATAATAGTTGTTCCTGGATCTAGGTTACATAACTCACCATCCAAATCTTATGGGCCAAAAGATTTTATGTTTTTTATTTGCCTATCATTCATATTTTAAAAGAAAACAATATGTATTTTGCTTCGGATTCTTCAAAAAACAAAATAATGACATAAACAGCAGCATATGCCCACTTAAGGTAATTTATCACACAACGTAAAATATAAGCAGAATCAAAACGTAAGAAGCAGCAAAGGGCGACGAAGCATACATGCTTCTCCCTCGGAAGCGTGGTAGTTGGCGGGGGCAGCCGAACGATCGGACCATCAGGGTCATCGGTCGACGGAAGGGCGAAAACAGCATTGGCTATGGCTTGGACCAGTTCCGTGCCCGTCTCCAGGCACGCCCTCGTCAGCTCCTGCCTAATTATCACAACAAAGACAAGCAATCGAACTCAGATAACAGCAGCAGACGCAGCGGAAACGTTCGTACTTCAAACAGCACGGAGCAAATGTTTAGGGTTTTAGCACGGCTTAGAAACCAATCTAGGACGCGCAAAAAGGCTTGGCTACAAGAACATGACCGTCACAAACCTAGAGGAGGGGACGGATTCGAAGTGGTGGGTAGGATCGGACGCCATGAGGTTGCCCAAATCCATGATACTTCTCCGCCACCAGAAGCCCTACCGTCGTCCCGTCCGCAGAAGCCCGCAGAAGCCCTGCCTGCCGTCGTCCGCCGATGCCCGCAGAAGCCGTCTGCCGCCCGCCACCAGAACCCCTACCGTCGTCCCGTCTGCAGAAGCCCCAAAAGCCTTGTCTGCCGTCGTCCGCAGAAGCCGTCGGCCACCGGAAACTTGGACCAGTTCCGTGGCCTAAAAAGAGAGGGTTGTGAAATCGGGTCGGATCCGGATAAATCCCATTCGCCCGAAATCCGACAGAATTTAAATTATAATATTTATTTGTTTTTAACTTCTAACTATTATTTCAAGTATTTTTAATTATAAATAATTAAATATTAAGAGATATACTTCAATTATTTTAGTAAATCAAACAAGTAAAATATTATCCAAATCGAAATGTCATCATGCTCTACCAGCAGAAAGGAAGTAAAGCTACTTACAGTGTCACCGAGTGAGCCCATGCCGATCTGATGCATATGCAATAGCATGAAGACAAAAAGATGTGACGTTTGTGCTTGAAGTCTATCCGTGTGCTAATGCTGAGTTCAACTATACCAAGAAGGTGCCGGTGACACAATACCCACCTTGGAAGTAGATCATGTCCTGCTCGAATCAATACGCCTCTCGCACGTTAGAACTTATCCACTGTCGATAGAGCCTTGGTTCCGTGAGTAATCGAGATTTCTAAGTGATCTCAGTTACGATCTGAACTGGCGCGCCATTAATGAATGATAGGAAATAGAATGGACGGAAAGTTAAAGCAACCACGAGCGGAGGTCTTTTCCTCTGAAAGCAATGGAAGATGGTGCAGTTTTTGAGGCTGGAGAGCGTTATAAGGCTGCAAGAGAGAGAGTCATTGATCCTATGTGCTCAGCGATGATGGGGAGAAAGAGGTGGGTGTTGGAGACGATGCTTATTGGGTTAGCGTGCGCCGTTGATCTCATTGGGGTTTCAGGGGACGTCGGCACAGCTACATCATACGGTCCTCCATATCTACGTAAGCTTTTACTCCTTTGCAGTTCAAGTTTCGTCTGAGGAGAAGTCACCGTTCATCTCACTGTGCAGCGACGAAGTGCCCCGGCTACACCCAGGATCAGCTGCCTGGGAACGGCCATTTTGTGGCGGCAGGCAGTGGCATATGGGACAACGGCGCCGCCTGCGGCAGAAGGTATCTGCTGCGGTGCCTGAGCGGCCTCCGACGGCCGTGCAAGGATGGCTCGATCGTCGTTGAGGTCGTGGATTTCTGCAGGCACAGCCCGTGTCCTTCCACCCTGGTGTTGTCCACCAGAGCCTTCGACGCCGTCTCCAAAATCCCAAACACCAAGATAAATGTCGAATACGCACAGTAATCCTCTCTCTCTCTCTCTC